GACGTTATTTTATCTTGCTATCTATATATCAGATCATCCCTCTACACCTTGTCATGTACACTAGTCTGGTCTGATGGTTTAATATGCCTCTTACATTATTTTGTCATGTTAACTAATGTAATAACAAAAAAGGTTAACAATTCTCGATTGGATCAACAGGCCACATTCAGAAACCAAAATAATCAGAGTTTACAAAGAGAAGAAAAAAAAACAGCAGTGGTGGGAACACTCAGATATTTTTTTCCTGATTAACTAGCTGACATATTTGTAATGCTATTAAAAATGTACCGTTGAGCTGATGTAGGGAATAAGAGAAGTAAAGTAATGAAAAGATCGAGCCTGTACTATTGCTTTTACCTACAGGAAGACATAAACTAGAACTTCCCCCTTCTTCCCTGATGGATCTGTAAATGAAGGGTTTAAAAACTGTGCAAGTGTGCATTTGTGTGTGGGGAGGTATGTGAGGGAGAAACATCCTTACATCGATAACAATCACAGAGCATAACAGACAACGTTTGACCAAATACAATACACTGCACAGTCATTGCATTGTTAGTGGCTATTACAGTACTCAGTACAAATCACAATCTAATTCCTGTCTCAGTTCCATGGAAATAAATGATTTCTGATTCCATTTTTACCCAGCAATAAAATCCCACTTTGAACACAGTGTGCCCTTTAAATTACACAGAGAGCAGCAGTTTAAATCATCTTGTCTCATTTTACACTTTATCTTTTGCAGTTCTTCAAGCATTTGTGTTGTATCTGTTCACTGAATGAAAGCTGATTGCCGGTCTGAGACACAGTGATCCAGATGGTTTTCAAGTGAACACATCTGTCTCCTTAAGACTTTAAAAACAACCAAAAGTCTTTTCTTAACCCATCATCTGCCAAACAGGATCTGCTTCACAGTCAAAATGGTGTTCTGTAAAGTTTAGGGTGGTTGTGATATTCATCATGAGTTGTTGCTGGTAAATTAAATTGAGAAAACTGCATTTAGTCCACGATATAAAAAGTAAAAGGGCATCAGTTGTTTTGTACGGTGTTTGGAAGATGATAAACTGCAATCAGATTTCAATCAGTCTATTATGAAGCCATTAGAGCAGCAGCTGACGTTTCCATTCAGTCAAACCTTAATGGACCAGAATTCATGCTCAGTGCAAGTTTCTGAAACAATCAGATGGTCAGTCAGTGTGTGATGGTATAATGTTGATGCTCCAGATAAACCTCTGCACAGGGAATCTTATGCACAATGCAAATGGAACACAACGTGTATGTAAATAGACAATCCTAACATCGGAGATACATTAGTGTGGCACAGAAACACACATCTACACAATGGGACGTGCCTTGGACGGACACATCAGTAAAGTGCCTTTTAACAGGTTATTGCATAATCTGATGTCTGCCTTATTGCTTCCATTGAAAGCAAGAGGGGCAATGTACATTCCTATAGAACAGCGCAGCAGGCAAACAGAGAAACCAATAAAGAAGAAAAATATGTTTACAATTTTACTATTTGAGAATCTGTTATCAGTCACATACTCAAAATGAGTGACAAAATGTAAAAACAAACAAACAAAAAAAAAACAGTTTATTGTGATTCAAGTTTCCCTACATGAAATCAGACCTGCACCTTTCCATGAAGTCAGTCTGATAGATGCCAGTGTAGTTTCATGTGGAATCAAAGTGAATCTGAGTGTAT